GGGAAGCGTTTCCAGTTTGATAAGAGAGAGGATAGGAGAGAAAAAATTAGGAGCCACATGGAGCCCGAAATGAGGTAAGGCAGCCTGGAAAGCTTCCCGGCTTTATGGCGCGAAACGTAAAAGTCCATTACACTATTATTCATTGTGACATTTCCAAGCCGACAATCGCGCCTTAAGCACGCCTGTGGTTGGAGCTGCCGGTTTTATATGCATTTTACCATTTAGAATGATAAACAAATCAAGACCAATGGAAACTTGATTCTAACCTGTTTCTACAGAACTCTGCCCGCATAACTCTGTAAAAACCAAAGTTCAAGGAGGAGAAACAGAAAGAGACAGAGAAAATTCAACTCTCTATCCTCCTTCCTATACCGTGTTTCCCCTACAAGTCCTTGGCGAACCGGGCAGATATAACCTGGAGTTCGCAGATCAAGAAGGAGGATGAAACCCAGACCCCATAGGCTTCTGCTCCCCTTCCGCATCCCCGTTTTCCGGCTTTCCCGCTTTCCCAGAGATCTCTGAAAGCTCAACTTGGTCAGTGTGGCAGGAAAACCAAACTTCATCTAAGTGCAAAAACGCAAGCGCCAGATGGTATTTCTTGGTTCTGGGGATGGGATGAGAGGGAGAAGTGGAGCTGCGTGAGCCTCCTATTCGCAGGCTTGGATGAGATTTTGATAAGGAAACTCTCAGCTCAGACTATTAGCCAGGTGAATGAGCCCCACACAAGCCTGTGCCATCCTGCCACAACTGTGGTGTCTAAGGTTCTCCCCAGCAACACATCCACCTCCGACGTAACTCACAAAACTATGCTTTTACAAAAAAGTTGGCCCAAGAATCTTGAGCCACAAATTTTAAAAAACTTAAATAACTGCTATATGCATTTCTGCTACAGGAGACTGGTTCTTGTAACTGTGGTAAAGTTGTCTTCCTTTTTTTCCCTCTCCTTCTTTTCTCCCTTCTTCCTTCTCTGCTTGTCTTCCTTCATGGGAGTTCAAGATTTAAGAGCTAGCCAACATGGTATTATAGTAAGAGCAAAGGTTTGAAGTTAGTCAAATCTGTAATGGAATTTTGAGCAATTTAATTTTTTAACACTTCAGCTTTTGCATTTGTAAAATGAAGATGACATCACTTGGAAATTGTCATAAAAATCCCAATGTTGAATTAACTGTTCATCTACACAGGAGGTTGTTCTTAATTAATATAATCTTTCTCTTACAACATCCTCCTTCTCCTCCCTAGAGAGGTCTGGATGTAGAGGAGCCACCATAGCCACAATTTCCCCAGTGAAGAGTAGATCAATGTTCTTCAGCAAGTTGACCATTTCTAGGGGTTCAGATGGTCACTGAAGCTAGATGCACCTCCCTGGGTTGCAGAGGCTCCAGAGAAGAGTGTAGCTGCCCGGAGTTACCTCTATCATGCCAACTAGGCCCAAGGACATGCAATGAACAACTTTTTCATCTCCTTTATTGCTGGTTTATTAATCTGATGCATTTAAAAATGCTTGGCACCCTTCTGTCAGTTTGCATAACCTTCTGAATATTGTGAAAATGGCAGTAATCATAGCTGTTGCTTATTATTTGTCAAATGCCCCACTGACATTGTGGCACACAACCCTACTTCTTTAATTTGTCCAAGGCCATAGTTTACCAAGCCAGGGCAGATTCAAACTCAGACGTCTGACTCGCGTCAGAATGCCTGACTTTTAACTACTTTGCGGCGTTTGTCCTCTTGACAGTGAGTTCAGAAATGGACACACTTTCAGTAAATGGATTCATGACAGTTTGTTATAGAACTGTGGATGTGGGCTGCTACTCCCGCACAAGTGGTCCAGCCGCTAGCTGCTAGCCTCTTGCTTCTGCCTACTTCCGCTGAGCGGCTGGAGTGCGTCTGGGTTCCTGTAGGGAAGAGCTCCCCTTTCCCAACCCTACTCTTGCTGGGCAGAGGTTAAACAGCATTGAATGAATTGAAGTGTGGAATAAAACAGCCACAAAGGAGAAAAAGGAGAATATTTAAATCGGTGGTAAAATCTTTCCCTCTCCTTTTCCTTGCAGATTACATAATCCGATGTCTAATCATCAGCAAGTGGATCGAAACCTGAATTGAATAGACAACGACTCGATCTCTATACAGACTGTGGTCCAAAGGCATGCGCTCACTTCTGGAACTTTCTTTTTTGGCCTTGAATGAAACTCCTGTTAATGTGTACAGTAGCAGAGGCTGCGCTGCGTGCCTCAGTTTGTGCAAGTGACCACTTGCTCACTCAGTAACCACTCAGGAGAAGTCTTTAGCAATAGATTTTTGGATACACGTGTGAATAAAGTCGACCCCTGCAGTTTTTCCTGCAGCTCTAGCAGCACCCCAGACGCATCCAACAACTCTTTGAAAACCAGTTCAGTGCCTGGCACCGCACAATAAAAATTTGCTTTCTGAATGAGAGAAAGTGTATGCTGGCAGGCACAGGGGGTTTCATGCCTTTTTCTGCTTTCTTAGTTCTAGTGCTTCCTACTTCTTTGCATTGGCCTTCTTGCCCAGTTCCTGCATCTTTTAATCCCTTGAAGAGCTAGGTAAGAAAGGGCATGGAAATTCTGACATTATAATTAGCAAGCGGCTTATTATTTGTCAAACGCCCTACTTATGTTGTGGCATACAACCCCACTTCTTTAATTTGCCTAAGGCCATATTTTACCAAACCAGGTCAGGATTCAAACCCAGGCATCCCACATGGAGGCCCGACTTTTAATTACTTTGCTATTTTGTCTTATAACAAAGGCTTATAAGCTTATAACCTCCAAGGGATCCTCAGGCATCATGGTTCATATGTGTTCTTCCCTTCTGCGAGTGCTTCAGACCTCAGCATTTGCAATTAAATTGGGAAACCTACTCTGGGTGCCAAAGACACCAACTGGGTCAAAGCCTCCGTTTATACATGAGGCTGGGGGCAGGGGGTGCCAGTAGAAAGGTGTTGGATCAGAGAAGCCTGGGGCAAGCCTCCATTGACGGACTCTGGGTGCCCACTTGGAAATGCTGTGCATGTTGGCAAGACATTGACGTAGGTTTTGGCTCACTTTAAGGTAAAAAAGGGACCCGAGGTAGACAGTCAGAATAGGAACTGAGGTCATTTGGAGCCAGGTGCTGCTGCGCGCTGTCTTCTCTGGCCTGGAAAGGAGATACACCTTCGTTTACAGTCCACCAAAAGGAGGAAGAACACAACACGGAGAAAACACGAGGGCAGTAGATGGAGTTTTAGTTTTTGAGTATGACAGGTCCCACTCTGCAGCAGGTCACAGTCCTGTGCCCTGGGTGCCTCGGCAGCTGTGCCTAGTCTCTCCCCAGTCACAAACAGGAACAGGTTCTTGTCCAGGACTTGGCCGGGATTCCAAAGTCCTGAAAAAGGGCTGGAAGAGGTCATGCAACCTGGAATGGATTCACCAGCCCTTGTGGTATTGAAATTACTCAGCACTAAGGGAGAAAGCACTAGGGCTTTATTCTTAAGACTTGGTGTGTCTTCTTGGCAGATACACCAAGAAGATTTGCAAACTCAGCTATAGCTGCTATAGGCTTAGAAACATGGCAAAATCTGTTTTAGAAGTGCTTGATCCCTCTTCTTTCCCTCAAATGCACCCGCCTCCGCCGCCACTTTCCTCAGGCGGGCCTCCTACAGGTGTTTATCATTATTAATTTTAAAGGATGTCTTTTGGCTTTGCTAACTTTCAGTAATAACACCTTGTCCTGGCTAAGCTCTTTACAGTTTGCATCATCATTGCTTTTGCATCTTAAAGTTTTGGGAAGAAATAGGCAACAGTTTCTTCTGAAGATTTTAAACATAAGATGCCTTTTCAAGGTTTCTTTTTTCTCCTCTCCTTCAAAATACTTCCGCCCTGCTTCAGTAATTTTCCAGATATTGTGTGTGGTGAGGAACCTCTTGCATTAAAAAACAACAACAACAACAACAACAACAGAACTAAAAGAAAAAAAAAGTGGATGAATCCATGTAAATCTGTCTTTTAATGGTCAGGATGCAGAAAAAAGTAGGCATGGATGAATCTGGAAAACATCATCCTCAGCAAACTGACACAAGAACAGAAAATGAAACACCGCATATTCTCACTCATAGGTGGGTGATGAAAAATGAGAACACATGGACACAGAAAGGGGAGTACTAAACACTGGGGTCTATTGGGGGGAAAAGGGGAGGGCCAGTGGGAGGGGGAGGTGGGGAGGGATAGCCTGGGGAGAAATGCCAAATGTGGGTGAAGGGGAGAAGAAAAGCAAAGCACACTGCCATGTGTGTACCTACGCAACTGTCTTGCATGCTCTGCTCATGTACCCCAAAACCTATAATCCAATAAAAAATTAAAAAAAAAAAAAAAAAAAAAAGTAGGCAGTAAACTGAGCCAGAATCCCTGCTTCTTTAAACCACCCTTCCCCTCAGGCTGAGATAATTTTTTTCCTAAAAAGACTTTCTATTTTTAGAGATGAATTTGCATCCTTTTATAAGAAGTACCGTGTATTGTTTAGCTTTGCCTGGCTTTATATATGTTGTCATATGTATTCCTCACAATCTTCTGTGAAGTAGGTATTATTATGTCTGACTCACAGATGGGGAACCTGAAGGTCATTCTCATTCTCATGACACACTGGCGACAGAGGCTGAACCTAAATTCATTACAAGGTCTTAACCATTGTGCTACATGTAAAGAATATTTTGTGGCTTCGCAGGTTGGCTGTATGGCTCCTCTCAGTCTCCTGAAGTATTATAATAGAAGTGAGAATTCTTTTAGGAGACCTTGGGGATGGTGGGAATGGGGGAAGCTTAGGAGGGACCTGAGCGCTCTGCGCATCCAGTTAGGTGGAAATGAAGTTAGGCACACGTGGAGCCTGGGCCTGGGATCAGAGGGGGATGGGCTCCAGGATGGCCATCAGCCAAGGGAGGGAGATGGATCGCGTGCTGGGCGAACACTTTCTCATCGCCTGCAGGTCATAAATATTGTTGCATTTCCTTGGTAACCCCCCAAAGTCCGAAGCCAGGCGGAGGCCCGCAGGACGCCTCCCTTGGGAGTTGAGGCTGTTTCTTGCTGCTGGAGGCCTGGGCGGCCTGGGCTGGCGCCTGTTTTCGGAAGCGACCTCGAGAGAATCGCCCTGGAGCTACGCAGATCCCCACGGTTTTCAGGCCTCAGTTCTCCAGCCCCGGTGCAGGCCGGGAGCGTCCTCTCCGCGCGGTGCACCCCGGGAGGCGCTGAGGCGTTTGGGCGCCGGGCAGGGCGATGAGAGTAGCCCCCAGAAACAAGCTCTCTGGAGAAAGCAGGTGGAAGGCCCTGTGTGATCCTCTCCCCCGCCCTTCCTCATCACTAATCCAAAGTCAGTGTGAGTGGCCGCGGCTCCTAGCGCCTGGACCTCTATCTCAGGCCAGGCCCTGAGTCAGGCTCGTCGCGTCGCCCAGGTGGGTTTGACTGCGGCCCCTCCTCGCGTCCTTTTCCGTGGGCAACCCCAGGGTTGGGTTTCACACGGGTAACATTCTTCTCCTGGAATCAGATCGGTCTTCCAGAGGATAAGACCTTTCTTTCCTGAGAAGGAGAGCCTGGAGGAGACTCAAGGCCCATAGGTAGGTAATTCTTGCGCAACACATCAAAAGCTCTCTCAGTGCACATCCGAGCACCCCTCAGGACGCTGAGAAAATAGGAAAAACCAAAACCGAAGCCAGCAACAAACCACAAGGCCATGGGGGCAAGGTCTGACTAAGCCAGAACAGACATGTGCCTGAGCTGTCCCTTGAGGTGGACCGGCTCCGGCTGCGAGTCTGGAGAAAGAAAGGCTGGAGGGAGCGATACCGCCTGGGGAGGCCGCTGTCGTTTTGGAGTTGCGTCGCAGCTTGCCTTCCTCGGGCGCGGCGTCTACGCCGGCAGGCAGTACCCCTGAAAGTCCAGGCACTAGGGGCCTTCGGCCTGAGCATCACCCCAAGGCTGCAGTTTCAGCCTCTGGGAAGGCTTCCCCGGGGATTCGAGTTTCTTCTACTTGGCTTTAGTTCCTGAACCAGCCATAGCCCTTGGTTCTTAGAACTTTTAATACTGTGGTGTAATGCTTGGGCAAATATATGTAACTGACCACGTACAAGTATACAGCCTCTTTAAAAGGAGTGTGTGTGTGTGTGTGTGTGTGTGTGTGTGTGTGTCTACTGGCGCGCTTGTGAGATTCTTCTGGGCTGAGAATGCTTTCTGTTCCAAATGATGGATAGAAGGCCTTAGATCCTCTGAATTCCTTAGATTAAATCAAGGACTTATTTCCTTTTCCTGCGATTAGTTTCTTTTAACATGTATTAATAATTATATTATTAATTTTGACCACCCTCATAGAAGTTTAATGCAATACATAAAAGAATGAAAAATGGAAAATATTTGTATGCCAAGTTTACTCTGGAAAAATATCAGTAGCATTTCTTACTTGACAAGCATTTTCAAATTTTTTGCCCCCGGCCGGCAAGGGCATCGTTTTTAAATGTATATCCCATGTTTATTGTTTCTGTTTGGTACTTCGGTCACTTGGACCACATCTGTTTCTGATACTGTTCCTGTGTTAAGCACACACTATTGTGTTAGCAAGATTTTACACCATCTGTTTAAGAAAATTCTTGGCAGTGCTATTTGATGCCCTGTTGAACTTTAGCCAAACTTCATTTTATAATGTTCTCTCAGTCCTGAGCATATATATTTTAATGAAATTAGGCTTTTGTATTGACTGACAGACATCAGAAACACATTCACATAGGTCAAAAGCCGTCGAGCTAAGTGTTGGATGGGAGGAACTATTAAAATAGTAAAATAAAAATATTTGGAAACAAAACTTTAAGATCAAGTAACCCAAATAAACAATTCTCTATCTCTCTCTCTCTCTCTCTCTCACACACACACACACACACACACACACACCCCACTTGGATGTGGCTATTGGGAGTTAATGTATAATTCTAATGATTTCTGTATTTCTTCATGATATTAAACTTAGGAATTATTTATATTTTTGATATTACAAAGGTGTCATAATTGACTTTTAAAATAATAAAGTAGAATAACATTGTAATTGGATCATATGAAGTATATATTAAATGTAACACAGATAAGCATTGAGTCTACCTAAAGTGGTATTTTTTTAAATCTTGTGGCTACTCATAAAGATTTTGTATTATATTACCAAAAGCCAACAAACACAAGGCTATTTGAGACAATTTAAAAAAATGTTCAGGCATCTATGCTTGATGGCTAAGCTTATATCTAAAAGTGGAATAACTGCAACACTGGAATTGGCTTGAAAAAGCAAATATTGGCTGTGTATTTTCAAATATTTTTTCTAGAATGGAACACTTTAGTTGATAGAATGACCTATTTTGTCTACATCCAATGTGTGTACCCCAGTGTAAAGCTTAAAAAATGGCAATTTCTCATATTTTACTTATAAGTCTAGAAATATCAACCTTGACCTTTGATTTATTAAACTTCTGACACATATTGCTAGAAACCACTATTTTTCAATTTTTCAGTTGACAAAGAAGTTTCCTTTGTGATCTACCAAAACCAGGTTATCACATTCTTTGAGTTGTTACCTGGACAGACTGCTTTTATCGCTTATTAATCAGATGCTGTGGTTAAAGGTGTGTCCTTTAAATAACTACTCAGGGATGTGTAGTTGTTCTATTTGTTTATTTAGGAAAACAAATTTTTGTTTTGGTGCAATTTCTAAATAAAATATATTCATGATAATGTTGATAATTGACATTATTTATACAAATCATTTGGAACTGAGTACCTTGTTATAGTGTAATAAGTCTGGTTATAAACAGAGAATGAGCCTCATAACATTTTTGCTTATATATACTTTTAAATATTTATCAGGATCTACATTTTTCTTAAACTGTTAATTTGGATGTGTTGAAATGTAGCCTATAAATTAAAAAAATAATTTATAAATTTTTTTATAAATTATTAAAAATAAGGTTACTAAAAAACCTTATGGTCTTCACATGTCTAGTTCCAATTAATCTGCTTAGACTATTTAATGGGTAAAATAGTAAAGTGGTTTAGTCAATCTGGACTTCTACACGAGTTTTCTATATGCCTCTTTAAGGTCTAATGCCTTTTCCTACAATATTTAGTTCTTGGTTACACTCTTATAAAACTTGGGATTGGAGAATAGTTAACTTGATTCATTTTCTTAAAAAAAAAATGCAGTTACATCAGTGTAAAAGGGCATCTTCAAACGAGTGCAATGATTATCAAAAGAAAACTATATACACCTTTGTGAATTAATCCCATGTATATTGAGCACCTAACTATGTACCAGGCACTGGGGATACAAAGAATAAGACATGAGTGGTCTTTGTTCTCAGAAAATTCTCAATTTTCTATTAGAATTGTCAGTCTATTAAGGAGACTCACAAAAATACAACTAGCTCATCCCTATAATTCTTCTATGATTCATCTACCCCTGGGCTTTGAATTAGTAAAGTATCAGGTGATCAGAATACTTTATGTATGTTTTTAAAATCTTAAAGGATGTCATTTGTGTGGAACAAAAGCACAGTACCCCCACAAGACTATTGGGAATTAATTATGGCTTTTGAGATAACCTACACTTTCAGTACTTTTTCAGGTGTGAGAAGGGGATCACTTTAAACTGGTGTTCCTAAAACATCTGCTGGATTGTTTTGAGTCTTGCAGCATAATTATTCCTTTAGTCTGTTGTAGAATCTGTTGAAAGAGTGGTGATTGGGTGCAGTATTGGGGCTGGTTTTTTAGTTTGTTAGATTTTAAAACCTGAAGAGCTCTTTTCCTCTAACTTTTTCTCTCTCACTTTCCTACAAAATAATTTTATATTTTATTGTGGAAAACTTCAAGATGATTAGGGGAGGAACGAGGATTCTACAGATATTATCTTTCAAGGCAGTATATTTCAGAAATCAATATTTGCTGTTTTTCCACCATATATTTGCTAGCTTTGGCGATTAATTATCCCCAAACTGCAAGGCTGAATTTATTTTTCATATAGACAAATTTGGGATTAAACTGTTTAGCAGACTTTTTTGTTAAAAAGTTGAAAGTTTTTGTCTGTGGAAAGTTTTGGGAATTTAGAGTAAAAAATTTAGATGTTAAGATGTTTTAGCACTTACAGTACAGGAATTACCATAAAGTTAAATTTAGTTACTATCTTTAATAATTTTAGAGATCAAAGTATAATTTTCTTCTTTTATGCATTGCTAGAAAATATCAGGAGAGAAAGGAGCAATTATTTGATTAAATTAATGTAATGCTTTTTACCCTTGAGGAAACCTTGCAGTTTTAATTGTTTTCTGTTTAATCTTGGGTTTTGGACTAAGTCTATGTTGTGCTTTTCTTTTAGAGAAGATCGTTCCTCACTTTGCCTCACCATAATCACAGACCTGTTTATATGATCTATTGATTTCAGCATTTGTCACATATTTTATTTCTCATTTCCTCCATTTTTCTCAACTTCTTGTTTCTTAGAAAGGCAGAATGCTGAAGTGAAAGGTCTTAGAGTTGGAATCTGCTGACCTGTATTTTCATTTCAGCCCCTTTGGTTTTTAGCTTTGTGACTGAGGGGAAATCATTTAGCTTTCTGAGCCTCAGTTTCCCCATATTTTTGGGAGATAATGGTCACAAAGGTAAGATATCAATACCCTTTGGAAATCTTTCTGGCTTTTAGGAGTAAACCATTGTTCACAGATTTTCAAGAGTTTTTCTCAAGCCAGCTTTGAAATCTTAGTTATGACAGTCTTCCCGATAATTTTTCTTCAGGTTTTATTCTTAGAGTACCATCATGTCATAGTTTATTTGTGGAAATAAAGTTGAAGCTGAATTCTGGTCTCTACACTAGTGTTTTCTTACTAGAAGTTAACTGACTCCAGCTCAGAGTATGAATCCACGTCTAACAAAATAAATATATTTAATGTTATTATTCAAAGCTTAGAGAATAAGAGCAAAGCAATGACATCTCCTAAAGCAAAATTTACTCCACAAAATTGTTGAAATTATAAAGATTGTTACTATTTTTAAATCTTCCAATTCTGAATTTTTCAAACATTTGTTACAGTTGGCTAATTGCTACTGTTGATAATTTGCTTACTCCAACCAATAAAAATACTTGCAAATTTCCAAACCTGTCTCCTTAATTCTTCTACTTATTTGCCTTCAACCTTTAAAGCCTACTTTCAATGCTACGCTCCATATGAGCATTGTCATTTAAGCTGGAGGTGATTTCTTTGAGAACTCATATTTATTAAATTGGGCAATTACTTGGTTATTTAGTTTATGCCTACTGCAAGGCACACTGAATGTGATTCTTCTAGTATTCTATTTCTGGGATCTCAATTTTAGTGATTTAGCCTTGCGGTCTGGTGTTAAGTAAGCCCCAGTACTGATTCTGGTGAGGCAGAACTAAAAACAGATAATGTGATAGGTCATTTGTAAACATAATATACTCCATCCTTTATTTCAGAGACTTCTCATTCATCATGAATATGACATGCGTTTTTTTGTTTTTTTTCTGGTAGTTATAATGGACTTGGATTGAGATGGCCATCCTCTGTTCAGATCTCCTTAGCGGAACTAACTTTACAGGTGAAGGCAGTATCCATGGAAAAGACAAAAGGGAGCTGGGACATCCTGTAGTCTTGGTCTGGAGTGTGATGATATTTTACTTTCCAAAAATATATTGTTAGAAAAAAGTTTTAAAAACATATTTCCTGGTATTATGGTGGTAAAAACATTCTCATGGCTCACTTTTTTTTAGGTGGTTGGCATGTCAGTAGCTCTGGATAGCACAGAAGTCTCATCGTGCTGAATGTGGCTGGGATCTGTGGCCCATTTTACAACTACAAGGCATTGCTTCCTCCAAGTAAGATGCTTCTGTATGCATATCTTTCTCAACTCATATAGAACTGTGTATGAATTAATCTAACTGATTAATCAATACCCATCACCAAAATATTTATGGATGGGAGTAATAAACATTGCAGTTGCCACACCAACATTCATTCTGTTCTTCACACTATTGTGTAGTAGCCATGTGGGTTTGACTGGGATTGACCCTAATCCTAGGCCCAGGAGGTAAATCAATGGGGGTAAATCAATCCTGTCTTACTGATTGATTCACGCATGGTTACAGGAACTCAAGCTCCATAAGGATAGGTACTCTATCCTTCATGTTCACGGCTGTAGTCCTAGTGCCAAAAATAGTACCCGATACAAACTAGGTGATCAATAATAACTTGTTGAAAGAATGAATGAAGCAAGATTGTCTAGTTAAAATGATCCTTGGGAGTTTTGTTTAATCCTCAGGATGTTGGATAGTCCCTATTTTCTCTAGATATAAACTAGGGAGAATGTAGTAAATGTAGCCATCTTGTGGCCAGGAAGGATAAGCCCCATAATGAAACTGACACATGGAGGAAAGGAGAGGACAAAACTGAGGAAAGGAGAGGACAAAGCGGAGAAGATGAATGAGAATCAGAGCCTCTGTGTTAAAAGTATATATCAACATTACTTCTATGATTTGAACTATCTTGAATTATATTTTTTTTTATTCAGCCAAAAGTATCCTAACTGATCTACTGAGAACAGTTCAAGGTATATAACAGAATTATTAGTACTTTCGTTAGGTGTTCTTTTCCTATACATACTGATTTATGAGGCTAGTAGTTTAAAGACAAATATAAAATTGTACAGTTTTGTTTTTCACAGCTTTGACAGTCTTAGACTGAATTAGGGTTTTTTGGTGGAAACTCCAAGATGTCAAATCCAAACATTTTTTGTTGCAGTTGAGCCAGAGCCCCTTTAACAAATCAACAAAGAATTTAAAAATATAATTCAGTTTTTCTATATTCAGAGGCTTAGTGAGTATTAGGTAATATATAGAAAACTTGATGTATTCCTTTTGGATACATTTGGGTACATTTTGGTTATGTGGTTTTTTACATTCACTGAGTTTGATATAATAAGAGTATGAAGACTTAGAAACAGTGGTCCACGTGGTGTTAAAACATTTGAAGTGGCTATAAAATAGAATATTTTTCTTTGTTGTACAGAAATAAGGCATGTCTTTAATCTACCTTTTTGTTACATATTGAACGTCTGTTTAAAAAAATAAAATTTATGGTAGAATTATAGCCTTAAGTTTTCCTCCAAACAGAGTTACCAGTGTTTAACAGAAATTATAATGAATTGAGATTAATCTGAAGTGATGTCTAAACTTATCCTTTCATATGACAGAATGTTAATAAGGACCTGGAATTTAAACTTTGAAGGCTGCACTCTGGAATGCCATTTGAAAACCAAAGTGAGAGAGGTAATGGAGATATACTAGCCATATAGATTACCTTCCATGATCTGATCCTCACATACTGATTTAAATATTTGACCTTTATGCTTGGTTGGCATTGTGTATGTTCCACTATTTGCTATCTTGTTGTCCAGATGGGCTTATATGATTTCCTTACTATCTTAAAAACTTTTTGAGGTTAGTGAGTATGTCTTATGGAACTTGAGATTCTTAGTGCCTCAGATAGTGACTGCAATGATGTCTGTTGAACAAATGGATAGATGGATGAATGAATGACTGTTGCATTGGATGGGATCACAATGCAAACAATTTTCATGGTCAGATAGTAATAAGAATGTGGGAAGAGTCCAATAAAATACAGTACAGCATGGGGGCCTATGACGTAGCTTGCTTATGCACATTTAAATTAATTTTGGTTTATAAAAGAACCGTGTTGAGACACTTAGGAAGGTTACTAGTTTGTGATTATTATATTAAGTCATCTTTTGAAAGAAGATCTCAACTTAGAGATAAAAGACTAAGGTCTGCTATACTAGCCTTGTGACCTTTCTATGCCTAGTTTTTATTTGGAAAACTAGGAAAATAATAACTTTTTTCTTTTGAGATGGAGTCTCACTCTGTGGCCCAGGCTGGAGTGCAATGGTACGACCTCCACTCACTGCAACCTCTGCCTTCCAGGTTCAAGCGATTCTCCTGCCTCAGCCTCTTTAGTAGCTGGGATTAAAGACATGCACCACCATGCTTTGTTTTCAGTAGAGATGGGGTTTCACTGTGTTGGTCAGGCTGAGCTTGAACTCCTGACCTTGTGATCTGTGGGACTTGGCCTCCCAAATAATAACTTTTTCAACTTTTTGGACTAAGTACTGGAGTCATTGTGATGATCAAAAGAGATAGTGTATCAAGATATTTTTTTAAATGTAGAGCAAGAACAAATGTTAGCTAAGTTGTGAATCTCTAGAGAATGAATTGTGGAGGACATTTAAAATGCAAATAAACAGAAAGTCACAGTGATAAGGGCTCATTGGCAATTAGGGACCATAATGAAGATGTCTGGTAGTGGTTTCTAAAATTCAGGGGATTTGATTTTGGAAGATAGTGTGGAACCCAGGGATTAGAACTGTTTGGGACTTTCTAAAGATTTTGTGAGGTTCAAAAAGACTTTCTACGTAGAGAAAACACATTGGAAATTCCTGGTTGAATGACAAATGGGTCAGAGACTGCCTAAACTAGAAGTTTATGTACCTGCAGAGGTTAACCATGTATCTCCCAATGAATTTGTGCTGATTCTTGGTCTTCCCTTCACAGCCAACCCTTTAGGAACAGAAAGTTTAAAACCCTTCTGTGGGGAAGAGTTTTTTGAACTATGGCACTAACATTCTTCTTCCCCAAACAGGGGGAGTACCTAGACAATTTTTTTTTTTTTAATGTAGAGAGAACAGACAACTTGAGTGAGAGCAGAGCAGTAGTAGACCCTTTATTCTGATAGCAAGAGAATGGAAAAGATGTCCTATGGATATTCATTAAATGCCTATTTAGTGATTACCTGTTATGTGCCAAGCACTGTGGCAGGCACTTGGGAAGCACTCTGATAAACAGAACAGACCAGTCCTTTCCTTCCTCATCCCTTGATGCTTATAGGCAGATGGCTGGCTGAGATAGACGTTAAGCAACTTACTCTAAAACTAGTTTTTCCCACAGATGGAAATAGATGATAATATGAAAATACTTGTGAACCAATTATCTGATGTAGAATATCATTTTCCATCTTTTCTCTCCAAAATAATTTTATACATTCTTTAAAAAGAATTTTAAAATGTTTCTTTATTTTTCAAGGTTACTGCTACATCTGATTATTTGAAAATATATTATAGAATTTAATTCAACCCTGAAAATAGGCATAGGTAAATTCTCAAAAATCTCAAAGTAAATAAATAAAAAGCAAAAGAAATAAGAACAAGATATAATGATAAATATTTTAACTATATATCTTCTTTTAAACCTTTTCATTCAGATAAATTTTAGTGATTTCTTATTAGGTAAATCCCTGTTAAAACATATTTCATCTTACTTATCTCATATGATTTCATTTGTTGTAGGTGCTCAAAAAATATTTGTTCCATAATTAAATAAATTCATGGTCAGATCCTGAAGGTAAAAATATAGTGGTGGAACAAAGTGATTATACTTTCCTCCTATAGGCTGTGACCCAATAGAGCTGATGACTGTAATTTTAATTGAAAAAAACAACATAAAAAACCTGATAGTCTACAGGATAGGAAGAATTTAAAACAAAAACACCTTAAAGGCAAATAAACACTATTTAGAAGTTGCTAGTTTCAGAGTCAGTTGCACATCTCAGGATGCTTAATCTTAAGTATTTATTACCTATCTCACTTTCAGTGGAGATATATTATTTACAAAACAATTTTACAAAGAAGTTTTCTACCTCTGTCAATTATTTCCAGCTACTAGCTAATCTGGTAGTTTAGATCAGAGAAAAATAAACTTGACTTGTTTGTCATGATGTAGTTGAAGCTTTCATATATGGGAATGTATTTTGTATTACTAAGTAACTATCAAATCACAAATTCCATCACTTCATACTCTTTCAAAATATTTTTGGGCAATTGGGTTTTTATTTCAGGGTGTCTGATAAAGGACTTAGGCTTTCTTTCTTGCTAAACTTTATACTGTCTTCTAAATATTTTTGAGAATTTGCTTTCTCAAAAAGAGTATTGCCTATTTTTCTCTGTGTTGAGTTACCATTCACTTGTTTTGCTTATAATATTTTCCAGTTCGTGGATTTACATGTGACAAATACTCCTCATAGATTACTTTTTTGTGGCTCTTAAGAAATAAAATATTTAAAAATAATTTTGACATATTAATAAATGTTGACATTGTAAAGAGAGAAAAAAGGAAATTTGTGTTTTAAGGTGAAGCACAGTTATCTCTTATTTCTGTGAAGTTTCTTAAAATGTTTATCTACCCTAAAAAGAACCAACAGGAAATTTAAAACTCTAACTTGAAAGCTTTTGAAAATTCAGGGGATAACTATATACTGCTGCGATTTGCCAGCCAGAAATTCAGAACTCGTCATGTTTCAGCTCTGCTGGTTAAGACTTTCTAAGTCATATATTCCATTCATCTAGACATTTTTCACTATTTTAATTGTTGATGGGAGGTGCATTTAAGAAAGTATACAATACATGTCTTATATCTTCAGACGTTTGCTTTTCTTTGGCTTAGACTCTGGTTTTGAAAAGTCTTCAATGGAAAGGTTAGGTGGGACAGTCTGTTGTTCTCCTTTAAAATGATGAATGAGCTCTCTGGAGCATACAGTTAGAGTGGAGATCTTTCCTGGACTCTGATATCCTCTTCTGATTAGGATCTCTGATGGTCAGTTGTTGTGGCAGCAGATAATTGACCAAAGGCATATGTATTGGTGATTCTAGAGACTTTCCAGACTTTTAGAAATGGAATCTCAATGTATTGCTCGGGCTTGACTTGAACTCCTGGGCGCAAATGATCCTCCTGAATAGCTATGGCTACAGGTGCATGCATTACCTCACTGGCTTTGGTGTTTTTTTAAGTTAAGTTGTTACAGCCAGTACATGCAATTTTAAACATGTTCCTGCTGATCCTTTTAGGGTAGATCTCTAGTATGTTTTTTCCCCTCTAAGTAAGTTTAAAATTTAAGTATAAGAAAATGCTTTCTTTCAAATCAAGCAATTTACAAGTAAATATTGTATTTGATATATTTAAAATATTCACAGTTAACTAATTCATATCTTTAAAGTTTTATTAAAATGTAATGGGTCAAGTGTCATTATTATTTATCTTTCAGTCGGATAATTAGATCTACTGTTAGATTTCCCCTAGATATTATAATTTAATCAGAATTTTATCTTTGGAAATGATTTTTAGAGATCTGAGGGAAAGGATAAAGTAAAACACCACACCCTTAATATTCAAGTCTAACTTATTTTGGCTGCTTTGCTATTGTATCCATTATTAAAGAGGCTTTTTCTTTTCTTTTGTGGACACCAAGCCAAAAATATTAGCAAGATTTAAATTACAAGTAAAACATCTTCAATTTTAGGGCTTTTTTTTTCCTCCTCTTTTCCTTGGAAAAAAATTTTTCAATAATACTGTTGATAAAATATCTTAAATTATCAAAGAGAAATGCTAAGTAGAGTATAATTTTAGATTCACTAAAATTATAGTGAAAATAACCAAAATTTCATTTATATTACATGAATGAAAGGTTGATAGTTATTCCATTTGGATATTAAAAAAAAACTGTGTTGTGGAAATTGTTATTACGGTGTTTTGAGAAAATTGGTTAGGAATGTATCCTGAATTTATCTATGAGTTTATAAAAGTAATTGATGACGATTAGAGCATAAAGATATATTTTAATAGTTTGTTTCCTGTACATCTTTATTTTTGACAAAAGATTTTTATTTATTTTTTTGAGATGGAGTTTCGCTCTTGTTACCCAGGCTGGCGTGCAATGGCGCGATCTCGGCTCACCGCAACCTCCGCCTCCTGGGTTCAAGCAATTCTCCTGCCTCAGCCTCCCTAGTAGCTGGGACTACAGGCGCGCACCACCATGCCTAGCTAATTTTTGTATTTTTAGTAGAGACAGGGTTTCACCATGTTGACCAGGATGGTCTCGATCTCTTGACCTTGTGATCTACCCGCCTCGGCCTCCCAAAGTGCTGGGATTATAGGCGTGAGCCATCGTGCCCAGTCGACAAAAGATTTTTAAAATGAGTCTTTACACAGGGTAAAATAGCAAAGAGAGTCAGTGATTTTGTTTTTTACCAACATCTTAATTCTCCATGTCAAACTATTATGAGAGAGGAAAATACAGTATTTAGGTAGTAAAGATTTACTTCTGTTACTGAGATGACAAAGTAAAATATTTTCTGGGGACAACAAAATAACCACTTTCTAAAAATTGTTATTTTGGGGGATATTTTCATTGTGAAAGTGAAAGTGTAAAAAACAATAAAAATAAATAGAGATTGTTTTCAATATTATGAGTTTATTGAATTTGTGATAAGTTACATATAAAACAGTCTTGTATTAAGGAAATCATTTTTTAAAATTTAGACTTCTTAAAAATACTAGTTTATGTTTTAAAAGGCATTAGATTATAGTTTTATTCCTCATAACTAAATATGTTTAAATAATCTTAAGTTTGATATTATAGTTATATATTATATTGTATATAATATTTTATAACATTTAACTTGAGATAATTATAAATGTAGTTAGCATTTATGATTGTTTGCTAATTATACTTATGTCTGTCTAATAGGCTATAATACTATAATATTATAATTAATAAATAGAACATTTATTAAGATTATGGGTTATTATAAACACTTGGGCATTAAAATTTAGAATTAGAATCTAGGCATTAATTTGATATGAATTCCTCTGTCTGAACACAAATAAGAAAATTAGTATGTTCCAAAATGTTTAAAGCCAATGTCAAGGCCAAAAGAAAAAAAATCTAAAAATCTTGAGAAAGGTGTTTTGAAATAATTGATCTGTTCAGTGAAACTAAAAAGACACTACAGTGAAGACCATAGGCTTTTTTTTTTTTGCACCTTATAAGCTATGCCAGCACTAGGTATATTTTCACATTTTATAATTTGAAATAATGAGCTATGTTTATACAAAGTAAGAGTGCATTCAGAGTTGGAAGCTTTACTCTTATTTTCTTAGGTGCATTCCATCTGATTCCTCAAAGACATGGTGCCAGCTATTTCATGATGTCCATCTCATTAGGCACAAAACCCTTGTATGTGAATCAAGGTAGATTTGTTTCATGTTTGACTTACTTTGAATGGAGAAAAAAACCCAAGAATGATCATGAGGTCCTTAGCTGGTTCAGAAATGCTTGAAAAGAAAGCCATAGGTGGATTCCTAGTTATTAAAATTGTTTAAAAAAGTATTATTTTGAGCTGAAACAGTTGTTATATGTGAACTGTTTGATTTGATTAATTATAATAGTAGATATGATAACTTCAAGGCTTTATTTTTTTGACTACTAACATTTTTTCCCCTAATACATATAAATGTATTGCTCTGTTAACTACCCCTTTTTTTTTCTTTGCCAAAGTAGAAAAGTAGAAAAATGTTTTAGGCCAATTAAAAATCATTCTGTGTCATTTGTTCTAACTACAAATATGGTATATATGCTTACTGAAAGTTAAAATATTAAACATACAAATAAAAATCACCCAAAATCTCATATGCAGGATGGGTTACACATTTTTAAATGATATAAGATTGTTTCTTCACTTTGTTGGATTCTGTAGAAAAAAATATAGGTTCTCAAAATGCATGTTGTTGATTTCTTTGTTAATGAGAAAAATGGCTCTACTTTAAACCAATATAATTTTAATATAAGTCATATTTGTGAGGGAACAAATAGAAATTTTCTAATCTTGCATGAAGAAATTAAGAAAAGCTATATCTGGAAGTTAGCTTATATATGGACTAACTGACCTATTACAATTTTCCCACCTCAATTTATTACTGATAGAGAATACCTGGATTAGTTTTAATTTGCATCATATATTTCTCAACCACAGAAATCTACATAATTGGAATTGGAATTGCTTTATTTCTGAAAACAAATAGAATTGTTTTGGCAAAGTTTTACCTAATACATTCTAATATGTACACTTGATTAGGCTTTTAAAAGTGAAACATTTATTTGTGGTGGTGCTGCTTGTGTAGAAATTCTTACTCATTAGACAGCTTAGTTGCTAATAACTTGAAATTAATATATTTTACTTATGAAATGAGTGATTCAAATGTGTTCCCCAAGTAGATTTCTTTCCTTCCTTCCTGCCTTCTTTCCTTTTTCTCTTTCTTTTCTTCTCCTTCCTTCCTTTGGTCTTTTTATCTTTCTTTCTCTTTGTCTCTTTTTCTCTCTCTCTTTCTCTTTCTATCTCTCTCCAAGTAGATTTCATTTTTCCATTTTCCTTTCCATTTTCCTCCTTTTCTTTTTTGTTTCCCTTCCCTTCCCTCTTCCATTCCTTTATCTTTTTTTCTTTTCTTTGGAAGTTTTCTTTCTTTTGACACAGAGTCTTGCTCTGTTGCCAGGCTAGAGTGCAGTGGTGCAATCTTAGCTCACTACAGCCTTGACCTCCCCAGCTCAAGCAATCCTCCCACCTCAGCCTCCTAAGCATCTGGGACTACAAGTCTGTGTCACCACACCCAACTAATTTTATTTTTTTGTAGAGATGAGGTCTTACTATGTTGCTCAGGCTGGTTTCCTAGTCCTGGACTCAAGTGATCTGGCCTTGGCCTCCCAAAGTGCTGGGATTACGGGCATGAGCCACCATAACCAGCCTGGATTTTTAAAATGAATGTTTTTACTCAAAATTTGCTAACCCCTAAAGGCATCAAAATATAAAGGGATGAATAATAATTTTATTAGCTTTTTATTATTTATAAAATAATATAAAACTATATGAGTATTTAAAAGGCTTTTTGTAGCTAGAAAGACAATTTGTCATTTGAGTTTTGTTTAATCATGATAAATACTTATATTGACTTTATATCCATATATATGAAAATAAAAACTATATATGTAAAGTAGATAAAATAAAGTATATATATATGGAATATATATATGTGTGTTTATATACATATGTAAATATTTACTTATTTTTGTTTTTTTATTTTTTGAGACAGAGTCTTGCTCTGTTGCCCAGGCTGGAATGCAGTGATGCAATCTCGGCTCACTGCAACTTCTGCCTCCAGGGTTCAAGCAATCCTCCCACCTCAGCCTCAGCCTCAGCCTCAGCCTTGCTCCCATCCCTCCAGTAGCTGGGAGTACAGGTGCATGCCCCTATGCTGGGCTACTTTTTAAAAGAGACAGGAATTTCACTTTGTTGCCAGTGCTGTGCTCCGACTCCTGGGCTCCCGCTATCTGCTGCCTCAGCTGTCCAAAGTGCTGGGATTACAGCTGCCTCAACTGTCCAAATCCATGCCAGGCTCCTATGATCATTTTGAGTGAATAAGAATGAAATAGTATTTTTTTTTGAAACAGAGTTTTGCTCTTGTTACCCAGGCTGGAGTGCAATGGTGCAATCTCGGCTCACCACAACCTCCGCCTCCTGGGTTCTGACAATTCTCCTGCCTGAGCCTCCTGAGTAGCTGGGATTACAGGCACGCGCCACCATGCCCAACTAATTTTTTTGTATTTTTAGTAGAGACGGGGGTTTCACCATGTTGACCAGGATGGTCTCGATCTCTTGATCTCGTGACCCACCCGCCTTGGCCTCCCAAAGTGCTAGGATTACAGGCTTGAGCCACCGAGCCCGGCCGAAATAGTATTTTTTATGAAGTCTATTTTCTATTATTAATGTAATGAAAGGAAGAGGTTTAACCATATTGGTTTAATTTTTTTCACTTTAAAAAATATGCTTATATTATAACTTGTTTACTTATGGTATATTTTAATAATTAATGATGTTGCAGGGGACCTGAAGTTGATTGTTTCTTGTCTTCTGGAATTGTTTTTATACTCAATAGGCTGCAAACCCAGAAATTTCTTTGGGAATGTCTGAATCTGGAAGATCTCTGTATGTCCACCTGCTTTCCTACGTGAAAACAAAAAAATGTAAATTGTCATTATCATTTTATAATCATTTCTAGTCTTTAAAGTGACAAAAGATAAGTAATGCACCTAATCTACCTTCAGGGAATCTTTATTAATTTAAATTCTGCTAATTTAGAGTTGGTGATCATATAAATGGAGTCTTCCTTTCTTTAGAGAGAATACTCATGAATAATTTATGCAATATTATTTTAGTAACATTCAGAATATTTCAGGAACTTTTAATCTTTTACTTATTTATTTAGAGACAGAATCTCACTGTTTTCCAGCCTGGAGTGCAGTGGCACAATCAGAGTTCATTGCAGCCTCAACCTCCCAGGCTCAAACAATCCTCTCATCTCAGCCTTCAAGTAGCTCAGACTACAGGTGCATGCCATCATGCTTGGCTAATTTTTTTTGTATTTTCTGTAGAGACATGGCAAAACTATGTCTCTACAGAAAATACAAAAGGGCTGATCTCAAATCCCTTGGCTCAAGTCATCCACTCACTTCAGCATCTCAAAGTTTGGGGATTATTACAGGCATGATCTACCATGCCCAGGCTCAGGGACTTTTTTGACATACCATTTCTATATAAACTATGATTATGTCAAATAAAACATCTTGTATATTTTATAAAATATGGTCTTGTGTATTATTTAAACAGCAAATTTTCTAAGGTGAAATACATTTGTAACAAATGTGGCAAAGAATTGATAACCTTGAATAAAGTGCTCATACAACTCATTAAGCAGTAAGTCCCATAGATAAATGGGAATGAGGCATAACCATTCTATAAAAGAATTACAAATGGCTACAAAATATATATTAAAAGTAATCTCATTGTGTCTGTAAAATACAAATAATAGAGTAGTTATTATCTTTTTCACAAATCAGATTAGCAAAGCCTAAACGATAATGCTGGTGAAAGTGAAAGTAATTTACATACTTGCTGGAAGTAAAAACTGGTGTAGCTTATAACAATATAGCAAAAAATCTTTAAGATGTTTATAATGCAGTAATTCCTTTTTAAAAAATATATGCAAAGAAAATAATATAAAATGCTCATTAAGATTTACACTCAAAGACATTTGGCACAGCCTTATGTATAAGAAGAAAATATTGTAAACTATATAAATGCCTCTAGATGTGGTTGGGTAAATTGTACTTTATTCAAGTGATGAAACCTAATATAGTTATTAGTAAGTCACTGAAACAACAATAAGTACTATAAATAATTTTAATGTAATGAAAGTGCTTCAGATATGTTAGGCAAGAAAACCTGGATACAAAATTATAATTGCGAAATAATTTCCAATGTGTTAAAATTGAAAGAAAAAAGACTGGAAGGAAATGTGACAGAGTATAGTTAGTTGCATAAGAAGAAAGTCATGGGTATTTTTTTCTCTGCTGCTTTTTGTTCCCTACTACT